GGAGAAAGAACAAAGACTTGCAATGGAAAGGGAAGACATAGTTAAGCATCCATTCACAGCTTGTACTGTAATTCTTCCAGAATATACTGCTTAAGATGAACTTTTCCACTAGCCAAAGAACAGGTTTGTTGCATCATACCAAAATTAAGATTGTTGCTTTGAGGAACGAGCCTCTAAAAGATGTCCATATCTGCTTGTGTATATTATTAACTCAACTATACCTCTTTATTGCAGAGATCTCCCAGGAAAAATTGCACTTTATCATTCTCAAACCCCTTTCGGATATCGAACACATTGACTAAGTAGCCTTTCTCCAACAATTTCTCTACCATGTGTTGGCCAAGGAACCCTGAACCACCGATCACAGTGCATTTCTTACTGGCCTGCAGAGGGAAAAAAGGAGAAAAGCATAAATACCCAGCCAAACACTTCTAAACTCTGCAAGATCATAGAAATAATGGTTTTAAACTCTCTTTCAGAGTTCAGATTCCCCAATACTGCAATTAGACAAGCCAGTAATAATTAGGATGATAGGAGGAATCTGACTCCAGATATCAAGCAACTCACTGAGATCTATGTCAATAAATAAGCAGCAGCACACATGCAGGGTTTTCTTCCTATGCAGGAAAATCTCTGATCAATGAGTTTGTGTCATGAAAGAGAGAGGTATATCTTTGATTCCTTTATCTATGGGGTGAACTTTGATGAGAGTAATTTAAGTTCCTAGTCACTGTACTCAGCAAAACAATCTGTTTAGGAGCCAAAGACAAGAAAAAAGTGTTGAAACATTCCAAAAAGAAAAAGAGCCAAATTCTGTATAATTCATGTATTAAAATCAATATCTATATTAAACTCAATACATGGATTGTAAAAAAATGTGTTCACATTTTGCTCAGATGCAAACAAATATACTGGTTTCTCAGTGTTAGATAAACTGTTCAGCTTCCTCTAAACACGGGCTGGTAAACTGATGAAGTTCCAAATTCCTTCTTGATTCTTAACCCAAAAAAACAGTCCAGGATAGCTAGGGCTCTTGGATTTACTTGCTCTCCATTTAGTCCGTCTCTCCAACCAATTTCTCAAATAAGCAAGCATTAAATCATATAAAAATCTCTGAAGAATGCCTTGCATTCAAAAGCCTGTCCCAACTATGCAGTTGGTCCAATAAGAGATATCAGCCCAAGAAATCCTTGTCTCATACAAAAATCCCTATCATTCAGATGGCAGAATTCATATCTACTTCCAAAGGTTGACTGAACAGCAGAAGATTCATGCAAACCAAAGCATAGCTGATAGACCATAACTATAACTCTTAGCCTCAACTGTCTTGAGAACAAGATCTGCTCTACCTTTGGCAACAATTGTCCTGAGAGGCATCCTGAATATATTTCTATACCCTTCAAAGAATTTAATTTGCTCAACTTCATTTCCATGGGGTTTTGTGCAGCATGGTGGAGATGCAGGGGAACCAGCTGTCACACGAAGCTGTAAGACGCACTTGTAGGTCCATATGAAGGCAGAGGGGAAGCCAAGAGGAGCCATAGCTTGTGTTTATAAAAGGTAGTCAATAGCTTTTTTATTTTTAAATCAGTGCTCGACGTCAACAGTTATCAGACTCTCTGGTCTGGGTTGCTTGCCTAAATGGAATGAGTCTAACGGTTTCTGTATTCAGAACCAATACAGAATAAGCTAATGATGAACCTGAAGATAAGCTTTATACAAAGAACAGTCTGTCCTGGTTGTAAATTGATTTGTTCCTTATTGTTACTGCACAAAAAACCCACCTCCGCAATTATTCTATTAATTTGAAAAAGAAATATTATCCCAGTGAAAGTACACAAGAAAGGCAATTGTTCAATGGGTTCTAAGTGCTGTGCTTTTAGAAAAGGAACATGCTGCTAAGTTTCAGTTTGTTCAGGATGGAAATGAGAAGTCTACTGACTTGTTCATTTATGTCAAAGCACATTATTTTGAGGGGTCTCTAAGCTGACTGCTTAAAATTAGTCCTATTTTCCAATTAACCCAATAAGCAAGCATACCAGAATCAAGAAAAGTCCAGATTTCTCTGTGTGCTCATCTTCCCTTTGGCCTAGTGAGATCCAGCATTGCAACTATCAGTGTGAAACGCATTAATATTTTTCTGTCAGCCAATCCCACTTTCTCAGCTCACATATCCTTAAATAAAAAATAATCTCAAAGGAAGTAGTGACAGAACAGTCAAGAGTTTAGAAGTGCTGGAATTTCCCCTAAGGACAAATACACAAAGTAGCACAATGAGAGACGTTCACCCATGATGTAAACAATTTATTGGAGTTCAAATGATTCCGTGAACTAAGCTGAATTTTGACCTTCCCCCACTTTAAACTCAGGTTCACTTTAAAATTAGACTGACAAGCTTTACAATAGCTTTAGTAAGTTTCAGCGACATGCCTAGCAAAAAAGAAAGTTAGGACCCCATCTACAGGGCAATATGGAACAGTATCAATTTCATCAAGGAACAACTACAGTTGTAACAAAATCCCAAGACCTGCTGATTTTGTAGTGCAGATAAAACCTGGCTGTGTATTAAGCAGGGACCTGAACCTTGTTAAAAGAGCATGAGGAGCAACCACAGCAGAAACAGATCCTCTGACAATTCAAGGTCACTTTCATAGCAGCAATATTCTTGGAGCAATTCAAGCCTCATGAAAGAAAGTCCCTGTCTTCAATATGTGTATTACCCTAATTTTTTAGACCACATTGTAGTGGTGCTCCTCTCAGAACTACGTGAATATATACAACCTTACAAAAAATACTTCTTTGCACTTACTGGTCTGAGTCGTGCAGCCATTCCCGTGAGGATTCAGTGCAAATCAAATTCCTTGAAAAAATAAAAAGAATCAAGTTGTTCATGACTTTTAACGTATCACTCCTAAACTCACTAGATGAGTACAACAGAAATCAGTAGGGGTGCACAGACAGAGATTTTTGGGGCTGATATCAATGGCCGATTTTTAACAAGCCATATCAGCAATCCAATTGCCAATATGCGGCTTGGCAGCATGGCGAGCAGCACCTGGCTGGTAAGTCTGTTGTGGGGGAACAGGCGAGGGGGGAGGGAAGAAGCATGGAGGGGGGGCAGATTGAGGCTCCCACAGTGAGGGAGGGAGGGAGTGGGGCTTGTGCTGGGGTGGGGCAGAGGCAGGAACTGCATAGCCAGGGTGAGACAGGGTGCGGAGCAGAGCTGTGGTTCATCCAGGGGAAGTTCCTGTCGCTACACACACCCTGGGAGGGCATGGGGGGGTGTGCTTCCCACATCTGTGCTGCTACGTCCTGGGGCCGGGGGTGGTACTGGGCTCTTCCTGGCAGGGGGATTGGGCTGGGGCTGAGCTCAAGGTAGCGGTGGTGCTGCTACATAGGCCACACCAAATTTTGGGGTGGCTGCAGCCCCTCCCCAATAGCCCCACCTCCCAGCACTACTGCTGCCCACCCCAAGCACAGCCTCAGCCCAGCCCCTTACTGGGAAGAGCCCACTAGCAGCCCCAGCCCACAGCAGCAGTCTACCCACACCTGGCATGCAGATCTGAGGGGCACACCCCTCATTACACGTAATGTAATGTTTGCTGTGTAAGCATGTCCAGAACACTTCCTGCTCCAATAAGGATCAATAGACAGGAATCTGTAGGCATAATAGCAATGGAGGGAAGTAGCAGATAAGGGTAGCTGTAACAGTTTTAATTAGGGAGATTTTTCCCATGGGTAAGGGTAGTATTGCCAACCCTAAACATTCAAAACAGGGAGTGCAGCCTGTAAATCATGAGGGTTTAAAAAAAACCCAAACCATCATAAATGTTGCTTTACTTTTATTTGACTGTAGTTTTTGGAATAGGATGTCTGTCCCTCCACCTTTTCAAGGTTTTCTCCCCAATCTTAGGTTTAAAAACTTTCTGGAAAAAAAAGATTTGTATACAACACCATGGCGCTAGCACAGTGATTCTCAACCAGGGCGATGCAAAATCTTTTCAAGGGCGCCTCAAGGTGTGAGGAGATAAATGTGTGAGGAGACAAGTACAAGCTCAGACGGGTCCCTGCCTGGCAGCTGCCCTGTCCCTCTACAAGGCAGGGAGCACTGTAATACACCGATCACCCTTGGAAATGAGGAGCTGCTGGATGCCCAGGAGTTAGGAGGAGGGGCCCAAGGCAAACGGTGGGGGTACCGCTCAAGCTACTACTGCTAAACTCAGTGGTGCTCAACCTTTTTCCCTGGTGGGCTGGATGGGCAGCGGTCTGACCCACGGCCAGAGCTGGGGCCTGGTCATCCGGCAGCGGTGGAAGGGTGGCCCTCCCCACGGCCCTTGCCATCATGTTTCCTGACCATGGAGAGCCCTGCGGACCAGATGTCATGGCTGGGCGGGCGGATATGGCCTCGGGCTGAGCCCCCTGCCCCGGCTGACAGACACAGCCGAGCTCCCACTTTGCACCTGAAGGAACAAGGGGCGGGATGGGAAGGCCGTAGCAGCGACGTCGGAGGGAGATTGGGGCCCACGGGGCAAATCCCGGGGCCTCGCCCCGGCGCGAGAGGACGCCTGACAACCGGGACGAGCCCGCAGCGCTGCCGCCCCCGCTCCCCCAGGGCCTCGGCCCCAAACTCCGCCCGCACCCCGATCCCTACCTGACGCCCGACCCGCCGCCGCCGGACCCGGCCGAAATGACACCAGCCCCGCTCCTCCCCTGAGGCTCCGCCCACCCGCTCCACATCCTCCAATCGGAAACGGCCCTCGCCGCCAGCCCCGCCCTCCCCCGTGACGCCCCGCCCCTTTTGCGGCACGCCCCCTGGGCCGACAATCGGTCGAGCTCGGACGCGCTCGCTGATTGGTTCTCCCCTCTGCTGGCTTTGGCCAATCGTCTTGGCGGACACCCGAGCGACCTCCTGTCTTCTCATAGCCCCGCCCCCAGCGCATCTTTACCAATCGTTGGCAGATGCCCGCCTCCCGCGCGCGGGCCTGGACCAACGGGAAGCGCGGTTGCCATGGCATCCGGGGAGAGGAGCTGACCAATGGGCTGGCCCGGCATTGGTAGGGGCGCTGTAAGCACTAGAGGCGCCCCAACGGCGTCGCTTGAAGGATGGTGAGTGCGGCCGAGGCGGCGGCGGAACCGGGCGGGGCGGTCGTGGCCCACTCGCTCTGGGTGGCCGCCCTGGAGCATCGCGGGCCGGGCACGTGCTCATCTGCGCGCTGCGTCCTGGGGGCATCTGGCGGTGCTGCTGTCTCGGGGCCTGCCTGTGCAGCACCTCTGTGCGGCCTCCTGCTTTGAGCTTTCTTGCCCGGGGGGGTCGGCGGTTGCACAGACCGGTTGGAGAAGCGGCGCAATCTCCTGCCTTGGAAGCGTTCGGGAGGTGGTGTCTGCCTTGAGCAGGGGGCTGGACTAGACCAGTGCTTCTCAACCTTTTTTGTACCAGGATGCATTTGCAAATGTTGGTGGCCAGTCCTGACCCCATGCCCCTTGCTCCTGACCTGCTGCTGCCCAGCCCCAGCCCCAGCCCCCCAGTGTGTGGGGCATGAAAGACCTCAAGCAGCCCCTTGCAGGCTGGGACTCTGCTAGCCTGCAAGGGAAAACCCACAGTTTCTCATGCTTTTCTCCTTTAACAAAGAATCCCCTTTTAAAGTTTGTTTGCAATCCTTTCATATGTTCTGGCAACCGTTTTGGGTCGTGACCCATGGGTTGAGAAACGCTGGACCAGGTGACTTTGTGAGTTCTTTTCCAGCCCTATTTTCGTATGACTCCTATGATCACTGTTTTAGCTGTGCCAACATGGCCTGCAGGTCATCGTAGGAAGGCAGCAGCTGCTGAAGGAGTTGTGGCATGCGGTGGAAGGCATGAGAGTGTTTCCTTGTCCTTCCTGCAACTTTCTCCCCCCAGCCTTCCACCAGCTCCAGGCTGTAGCAGAAGCCTTTCTTCAGTTGGAGCAGTGTTGCAACAGCTGGAAGAGGGAAGGGGCTCTGCCACTGTAACTGAGCTCTGCTGCATCTGAGAATTTTGTTCAGTCGCTCCCCTGTGCCTTGCTTCACTTGCTGTGCTTGGTGTCCTGTAATCAGAGAGCTGAGGGAATTGTGTTACATTCAAAAACTTTTCTGACTTTATCCCAGCTACGGAGTTGTTCCAATAAAAGATATCATCCTAAGAAATCCTGACCTTTTGAGTGGAACTGTGGAAGTGTAAACAAAGTTCTTTTGCCTGCTGTTGGAATCTGATTCTTCTCCTGTGCTTTCATGTGTGTTCCAAGGCTTCTAGCTTCAAGAAATCTGCATTAGGGGGAGCAGCCCAGAGAAAGAAGACGGGTCCCAAACTCGAACTCACTGAAGACCAAAAGCAGGAGATCCGAGAAGCATTTGATCTGTTTGATACCGATGGCACTGGAAACATAGATGTGAAGGAGCTAAAGGCAAGACTTCTTAGCAGAAAAGTGTAAATGAATTGAGCTTTAAATTGCAAATGGAGAGAGAGGTTTAGGGACATCAGCTGGGGAAGGGTGATTTTCATTCTTTTCTAGTATAAAACCTTTTCATCACCACAGAACCAAAGACTTATGTTGCGACTATCCCTTTCTCCCATTGGAGATCTAGGTTAACAAAAGCTCAAAAAGTAGTAATCGGGTCTCATCAACTTTGTATGTGTTGGTAAAAGGTTAAAAGGTTTTTATCCATTATGAAACCTGCATTTTTCTTATTAATGATCACACCATTATGGAAGTCGTGCTAAGTCCTGTTAAAAATATCAGTTGAATTCATTTTTATGGCCTTGTTATTTTTCAGAATAGATATTAAGTACTTCTTGGTGCTTTAGACTGAAGATAATGACTCCCATTATGTATCACAGTAGCACATTCTTAAGGAGACCTTACAGTCACTGACTTCTACACCTATAGAAATAATGCTCCATTATGTGGAATCCAGCAGTATTGGAAGCAACTTCTACAATGGTGATTCTCAGCCAGGGTACTGTGGCACTGTAGGGTGCATTGAGATCCTTTCAAGGAGGCTATGGGGTGCCACAATGCTAGAACAGTTAGGTGTGCAAACATGATTCACAAGATAAACCCAGAAACTTTGAAAAGGAATACATAGTGTTATAAACATTATGACCTGTTGTGGTCCTGAGTTGTTTGTAACAGAAGAATTGCTGTATTATTTTTCTGTAGTCAAAAATGAGTAAAACCTAAGAGCTGGCATTTTACAAGGGGTGTCTTGAGTCTAGCGACACTAGTGCCACAGGTGCCTCTAGTCTAAAAAAAATTGAGAACCAATGTTCTACAAAGTGAGACAAGGGAAAAACCAGATGCTTGTCTAACAAAAGAAATTTCCAGATGGCCCAGAATCCTTGCTGAACATGTTTTGTCACAGGCCTTATGCCTAATATCCTTAGGGCTTAAGCTTCTCTCCTGATTGAATTGAAGGGACTAGTAGATTGGAGTCCAGTACAGTATGGGGTATAGTAAGATTTTTTTCCCCTTGGGATTATATTTCTTGAGTTTTCTGTGCCTCCCAGTAATTTCTTTTGTGTCCAGGAAATCTGAATTTGGCTGTCCTTTTAGTAGATGTGTGGTTCCTTATTAAGGCAGTGTTCAGATGGTAATTGTGCCAAAGACAATGGGAAAGTGCTCTGTATTTTCTCTTTACATTTGGTTTTCATAGTTATAAGATGGCTGTGCCCATCTGTTCTATTTTTTTGTCAAACCTTACACTTTTCCCTCTTGAATTTCTATCCTACTCCTAATGCAGAATGTAAAAACCCAGCATGCCTTATCTCCCAAAATGACCTCAGGTTGTATTCAGATGCTTAAAAATGATATTTTTTTAATCCTCATAAGCTTGGATACTGCTATATAATATACTTAAAAGAAAAGAATAGTTAATTTCCATGTCTTCTGTATAGAACCACTTCCAGAGATTGGATAACTATCTTTAAACCTAGTTCTAATATTATAAAAACCCAAGTCTGTCTGTCTGTAATGCTTTATTTACACTCTGATTGGCTGACAATCCCCTGAGTGGGGTGGCGGGGGAAAGCCAGCTTGCTGCAGCAGGGGGGCGGAGGAACAACGGGTCTGGCCTGATGCAGCAGCAGCTGGGGAGGGAAGGAGCAGGCCTCCTCCCCACATTGGGCCTGGGCTCACTCCTTCCCCACGTTGGCCGGACCTGGGGGGAGGGTGGGGAATGAGCCCAAGCCAGGGGAAAAGCTGGCCTGCTGCAGCATTGGCCCAACATGGCAGCTGCAATGGGAAGGGAGGAGCGACCCTCCTTTCTCCGTCAGGCCTGGTCCCACTCCTTCTCCACCCCCACTCCCCCACGTCAGCCCCGAGCCTGCTCCTCCTGTTCCCCTGCTGCTTCCAGGTAAGCCTGGGCCCTCTGCTACCCCCTGGCCTCCTGCTGCGGCAGCCCAGCTTCTCCTCACCCCTGGGCCTGGTCCTCCCCTGCATTGGGCCCAGGCCTGGTCCTCCCTTCCCCCCGCTGCTATGGCGGGGAGTGGAGCGGGCCTAGACCCCAAGCAGCAGAAGGCAAGGGGGAGTGGGCCGGATGGGGTGGGTGTCCCGGGGCTCCGTCCCTGCCCACTCCCTCTCACCCACCCCCCAATCATTCTTGACAGACAATTGGCTAGTGCCTTAAATGAAAAGCTAAAGAACTAAGGTGAAGTACCTCATGGCCCAGAGGAGCAATTCCATATGTAGCATGGGTCACTAGTCTGTTGGGTTTCTTTATTATGGGAGAAGAGAGTCCTTAGAATCAATGTCTCTTAGTATTCACACTGGTACCTTGCCACTGGACCAGGATGGTGGAAAGTATTCTCTAGAGCATGTCCGGGGCACTTCTGTGCTATCCAAATGGGTGGCTGTAGGGCGATGGTTTTTCAGTGTCATGTTGTGTTTATCAGTGTGTTCAGAAAAATGCTGCTTCATCACTTGCTCTTCAATCTTGCTGTTTGCACTGAGACATGAAATACCTGATTTAGCTACCAGGTGGCATACAGTTAACACTATTTTCCATGCTTCTATTTACATGCTGGTCTATTCTAACTGTTTGCAGGTGGCCATGAGAGCACTAGGGTTTGAACCCAAGAAAGAAGAGATCAAGAAAATGATATCAGACATTGATAAGGAAGGAACAGGAAAAATCAGCTTCAATGACTTTCTGGCAGTGATGACTCAAAAAATGGTAAGTAAATCACACAGTTGTAGTGGAGTCAATTTTGCAAGTTGCTAGGTGTCTTTCATCCCCTACTGACTTCAGCGGGAAGTTAAAAGGACTTGGAATTTCCTTGCTTAATCTTGGCAACCAAGTATGCAAAAGTTGATTGCAAAACTGGAACCATCCTACCAGAACTTCTGTGGGCTGGATTGACATGTTCAGCTCAGAGGTGGATGGTGGGGTAGGTGCTAGAATCCAGCTTCCACTGCTCCTTTTTTCTGTCCTGCACAGGAAAAGCACCCACCCTGTTTTTCCTTTTGCCTTCTTAAGGAGAGTGATTACTGTCAAAGCCCCACCACCACCCAGTGCCACTGAAACCCCATGTCTGAAGGCCAGTTCAAAAGGCTCTATGGGTGGGATCTGCCAATAGGCTGTAAGTTGTCAACCCCTGTTTTAGTGAGAGAGGAGGAGGAGGAGTGAAAAAGAAAGTAATGCTATTAGGACTACATAAGTGTAAGGAAAAATAATTTTGATTACTGAGAAGTGATAAGTTGTGATAAAGTGTGTGGATGACTGTTACAATTGTTGTAATGGAGTTGAGGACTTTCCAGTTTTTAAGATATTAACAACTGTAGTCTG